GTATTTATAACCAAAACATCGTTGGATACTGATAAAGTATTGAAAAGTAAACCTGGAATGGGATGTCTTCTCTACGAAGCTCGCCAAACTACAAAAATTCAAAGTACTTCCGAGTTAAACTTGCAAAAAAGAATACAAGAGATAAATCCAAAACTGGCTCTAGCTCAAATCATGAATCCAAGAAGTGACAAAAGTATAATAGTTCAGAAAAAAATGGAGTTCACAAGGCTCTTATGCTAGCTACCCATTATCTTTGACATAAGATAACTTCAAAGTCTGTTGTGATGTTGATTCTGTAAGCAGGAGAGAACAAACTAATAATGAAATTACCATAGACCAATTCCCTAGACTTCCTTTAAAAGTTAGTGATAACTTTCAAGGACCAACAGACATCACTGCAGAGGAACAGACATTATTACAAGATATAACAGTTACTGTGGATGAATTAAACAAAATAGAACAGGCCACCAGAGGACAGTCAAACTCTGATGAGTGGAAAAAGCAACGAAAATTAAGAATGACTGCTTCCAATTTTGCAAGGACAACAAAAAGGAAAAGATAGCATGAATCCCTAGCTAAAGAATATCTTGAAGGAAAGTCATTTACATCTAAATACTCTACTCATGGATTGTAATATGAATCAACGGCATTGGATCAATACAAAAAGTACATGGCAACCACAGGAAAACTCGTGAAAGTTTGCCAATCAGGATTAGTTGTTTGTTTAGATTCTTCCTACCTTGGTGCTTCACCAGACAACAAAGTCATAGATGGTGGATGTAGTGATCCTTTTGGACTTGTTGAGATTAAGTATTCTCAAACTAAGTACTACGTTACTCCACTTGATGCATGTTCACATGAAAACTTCTGTTTGGAAGATATTGATGGCAAGCCAAAGCTAAAACGTGGTCACCCCTACTATTAATACACACATTCAAGGACAAATGGGTGTCACTGGAACAAGTTGGTGTGACTTTGTGGTATACACAAGCAAAGGACTCAGCATTGAACGAATCCCATTTGATCTTCCATTCTGGTTAACACTAAAGGAATCACTCAGAAGTTTTTACTTCAAATATTTTCTGCCTTATGCCGCAAAAATTGCTCCAGACAAAATTAGCATGATGATTATTTACAGTTGTTTATTTGTATGATTCATATATTAATTTATGGCATATTGAGAAACTGCCGAAAAACTTTGTTTGTGCACATTCTCAATCATTACTGTACTAGTTGTGTTATGAAATACTTGACAAAATTGTTATTGAAAACAGAGTTCCAATTTGAAACATACACTGCAAATAGTTGTGTTTTTCAGTACTTGACAAAATCATTTTTCACCTTAACTAGATTTGAGTGCTTCCTGTAATTTGCACAAAAAGGCACAAATGCTCCACATCTGGTTTACAACTCCAAAATAGTTCAGGGGTACAATTCCTTGCCAAATACGGTAGTTCTTTATCTTGATAATAGCTCTCTCGACATGTATCCTTTGGCTGGCAATGGTCTGAGTTTTGATGACATCCTCAGAAGACATCTGCTCGTTAGATCCAAGAAATAGTGAGATGTTAAGCTGACACCAAGGGGTAGTTTATCTTCGCGCTTGAGGAAATCTTGAATTTTTTTCCATCTTCGCGGCGAATGGCGTGAATCCACTGCTTTCTTCGTAAAAGCAGGCTTGGAAAGGAGAAATACTACACTTTTTCCCTGTTGGCGTGGTAAAACCCTGTTGGTTACATTGAGGAACACAACAGCTTGTAGGCATGTTGATAATATGTAGATATATCGTAAAATAGTGTAGATAAAGACGATGTTTTCACACGATAAATCAAATCATCGCAACTTGCTCTCCAAGATGTTTCCTCAGTAACTTCGACTTCATGATCTGGCCCAATCGCGTCCGAGTGTTGTCGGCAATATCGGAATTGGGTGAATAAACAAGTCTTTACCATGTTAATAAATGTGTTTAGATAATTGAGATAACCATTGAACCTCTAGTATCGCATCAGAAGTAATGTGTCTTGTCTTTGCCCAACTTTGAGAGCGTGGAGCGGCAAAGAGGCGAGACACGAGTCTCGCGTATCGCGGCTTCTCCATGCTCACAGGATACGCGTAACCTCACTACCTTTAAGGAAAATAAGAGAATGCTCGGAGTCTGTATTCATTGTCACGATGGCGTTACGCTGTATTTCTCTATGAAGTTTCCATCGGTCGCCCCAAAAAAGACGAAAAATGGACATTTTTAGATATATCAACAGATTTCTGCGCATTCTCAGTAAAAACAACCAAAAAAAAAAAAACGTGCTCGAACGTTATATTGGCTTGGAGCCTTGAGATTTATTTCTCTTGAAAATAAAATGCTATAGAAAGTGCTTACAAAATTACAAAGGAACTATTTTTGGTGTCGCTTGGACCGAGAGTAAAAGGATTTGAAATAATTAATGATGTCACTGATGAACCCAAGGTTACAATCTTCTCAGTTATTAGCTTGATGATCTCTACAGACCAACGTTATTGGACCGAACGATCTCCTTTTTCTTCCTGATGAGCCGGCCACCTCAGTAGAAAATTAAAAAGACCTTTGACTTCCACTCGTGTAAATCACAGGGAGATTGCGTTATTTTCATCTTTCTTTAAGCTTGTAAAAGATATCCGGGAGAAAAGTATGGAAAATAATGCTGATAAAATCGCTGTTATTTTTCCTGAAGGACATGGAGCAATCCAGATTACATATTAACCATGGGGAGTTTCATTCAAGTGACAAGTTGCAATTTACGTGTGGCTAATAAGTTGTTTGAAAGTTGGTTTTCATTTGTCTGAAACGTTTGTTGTTGAGAACATTAGATGTAAAATCGCCAAATTATGCAGTATCTGATTTTTAGCTTTTTTCGCGAATTGCCCCTATACAAAGTAGAGGCAGGTCCGCAGAGATTTTTGCATATTTAAAAACTAGAATATTACAACCAGCTTGATGGGTAGTTTCAGTTCCAGAATCGGTGTACTTTTGGAGAAATTCAGATAAACGTTTTCCCTGTTTTACCCCACAACGAAAATGACCGAAACTGTACCGAGATGAATAATCTATTGGTGTCTTCACATTCACTCACAGGGAAAATGAAATACATCGAAGTGAAGACAAATCCTGTTACTATTTATGGTAGAAGTGCCAATTTGCAATGTTGTATTTAGCTTGAGATAGAGAAATAAACATTTCACTCCTTTTTTGCGACGTTTTTGTATGAAAATGAAGCCCCAGGCCTCGAACAAGCAGTCGCTGTTACCATGGCAACAAGAGTGCTGCGACCTTTAAAAAGGGCATTTTTGTGCATCCCCCCTGAGTGCTTAACTGCATACAAAATTTCAAGGATGAAAATTTTCATTTCCCAAGATGTTTTATTCCTACAGAGACTTGTTCTTAATAGAGTTATCAATATATTTTTAACCGGGTACCCATATGACCTTTTGCTTGTCATCAGTGGTATAAAATAAGGTTTCTTTTCTGTCAGAACCTTCAATTTTCGCCCCATTGCACGGAATGAACACTATACTTAGAATGTTTGTTCTTAGTCATTTTTGCTGTTCCCAAGAATGTATGCAAAATGATAGAGATTTGATTCATTCAGCTGACACGTTCTTTTAAGTTATGGTGCCTGCAGGTTTTTTCATTCAAAAGTCGCGCGCGTAACACACCGGAATTGACAATTCGTCGTAAAATCGCACGAACCTTAGAATGAGTGCAGGCAACTTTGACTTCTAGCGAGATGAAGTGGATGGTTTAAAGGACCCCCTGATATTTTTTTCAGGACTACAACTGAGATTAAAGAGATCCGATCAAACGGATTGTGGTTTTAGTATAGGTACATGAATGTCTTATGACACACAAGAAATGAGCGAAATTCGTGTCTCAAAAAAGCAAAATCGATCGGACCGCTCTTACAGAGACACTCTTAAAGTGTCTAAACTACTTGGACCTTGCACATCTAGTAGCGTAACGGAAACCACGAGCACTGGCAGTGAACTTTTGGAAGGTGAAGGCAGTGTGCGTGGAATGTTAGATCAGTTAAATTCTGGAATGTTCTTGAATTGCAATGTAAGCGTTAATTTTAACTGCAAAGAATGATGATTGTAATCCTGGAAGTCAATAAACATTTGTTCGAGTACTGCATTCTTTTGGAAATTGATTTCCAAACACACGTGTTTGGATATCCTAACACGTGTGTTTGAATATCTCATCACGCGTGTTTGGATCTGTTCTTTATCGGATATCAAGAAGTATCCATGTGACTCAAATGAGGCCTTGTGCATCATTAATGAGTTTGAGAAAACATGTTTGCATACTCGTGCAATGTTTTTAAAGACTGGAAGACAAATTTCTTATCTCCGTGCGGCCATGTAATATCCTCTATTTCATAATCGAGGTTTTTGTCTTGTTCGAAATTTTAAAATCCTATTGACCAAAGCGAAGAATTTGTGAATTGACTTTATTAAGGTGATACGAATCTTGGCTCAATAATGCAGGTCATCTCGCTCAATTAGTCCAGTAAGGGAAGAGTTTATTCATGGAG